AAAAGTCAAACACCCTATGGCCTTGTCTCCTGCATTTGACATTTGGTTTGATCGGGTGAAAAAAAAAAAAAAAAAAAAAAAAACAACCGTATGACATCTTTGTTGATTTCAAGTGGTACCTTACTTGCAATGGACATTTTCGATTTGTGTGACCATCACCACTACGATAATCAAGATGATGATCACGATGAATGATCATTATCATCATCATCCGGGATAAATTACGTCCAAGGCACAGACACACAGGCCAACAAAACAAATGGAAATTCCCTTCATAAATTTCTTCATTTTCTCTGTTTTTTTTGACATTAACCATTGTATTGTTTGGCCAAAATCAGAAGAAAAAGAAGATTTGATTTACAGAAAAAAAAAGATTTTATTTCCTTATGACAAATTTCTTTTTCCACTGTCCATCATTAGCATTTTTGTTGGATGTTTTTTTTTTGCAATACAAAATGAAAATGAATGAAGAAAAATTGAATGGCCAAAATATCTTAATCTGATGATCTTTTCATTCATTCATTTGAGATAATGATGATGATGATGATCGGTAGATCTTTTCAGTTTTTCGTTGTTGTTGTTGATTCATTCAGATATCAGGCTAATGATAATTTAATGCGATAATTATCATCGTCGTTTACTATTCAACCAAACAGGATTGCTGGAAGAAGAAGAAAATTGGGGACAAAGAACAGAATGAATGAATATTTAAATTTTTTTTCAAAATCCTTCATCATCATCATCATCTGAATCTGAATGTGATTACCATGAACTCATCGTCTAAAGATCTTTTAAAAATCTTTTTGCCGTGGCGGTGGTGGCCATCAGTGTTTTCATGATGATTATCATCAACATCCAATGTCCAAATGCTGATCGTATAATTCAATTTTTTGCTTTCTTGTTTTTTTTCGTTCATAATGATCATTTTTGATGATGATGATGATGGAAACGAAAGAGTTTTATATAGGCTGAAGCCTGCCTGACTGCAAAACATCAAAGTTGAAAGAAAAATTTGCATATGACATAAATATAGTTAAATGATGATGATGTCCTTCGCGAAGAAACTGAATAAAATTTTTCAACCAAAAAAAATGCTTCTCTCCCCTTTCGTTGTTTTTATCTTGTTTTGTTTTTCGACTCTATATAAATCCAAGTTGTTTTTCTGTTTGTTTCTTCTTCGAGATTGTTTTCGTTGATTTGCGATTTGAAACTAATTTTTTGGGGATGAAAAATGATAATAATTTAATGATTGTGTGTGTGTGTGTGTGTGTGGTGATATATGACCATCATCATCGTGGTTAAATTAATCTAATGATGATGATCATTATTTACGGAAACATTTTCTGATGCTGTCCATTATTATTTGAAAAAAATACGGGGAATTTTTTTTCTGTTCAACAAGATTCAAGATTATCATTATTATTTTTGCCTACATGTGGGACGTACATTGTGAATTTTTTTTGTTTGTTTGGAAAACCTTGAATTGAATACAGGTTCAATTGCACCTGAATTCATTTTTTTTCAAGCTGAATAAAGAGAGAGAAAAAAGAGAATCCTTATAATTGTCTAATACTTGAAATGTTTTGGCTGCTGCTGCTGCTGTTGTTGGTTCATAATTATGTTGATAATATATTATATAATAACAATTACAAAACGGATATCAAAAAAAAAAAATACGTTTTTTTTGATGAACTTCTCTCTCTCTCTCTTGGGAGAAATATTATTAGGTAATCTAAATTGACAACAACAACAACAGAAAAAAATATATACAGTGGTTGCTTTATCATCAAATGTAATGATGATGATCGTTATTTTTTTCAAGTTAAAATAACATTATTTGGGTTGTGACCGGGTTGGTTGTAAACAAACGAACGAACAAACGAATCATTCACAAAAAAAACAAGACTTGCTTCAATGAATTCTTGGGCGTGTGTCACCATATCTCATATATAAATTTCAATTCTATTTCACCCGATTAACCGATGATGTTGTTGTTGTTGATGGTGGTGGTGGTGGATTGCCAGATAACGTTGTAGCCAAATCAACCAAATATGATGATGATGATGAAAAACGTTTGAAAATGATGATTGAATGCTTCGAACAACACTAACAAACAATATACTAACCTAAACACAGAGAGAGAAAGAATAAAGGAAGCAACCGAAAAAGAGAATGAATGAATAGAAAGAAAAGAATAGGATGAAAAAAAACGGAAGCAAATAATGAATAGATGTCGATTGTGTCCTGTACTGTTGTTGTTGTTGATGTTGATGATGTTCATTCAATCATTTCAATTTAGCTATATGGATTCATCAATAGTAATAGCAGTTTTTTCAATCTATTTATTTACCAAAATTCAGGATTCAGGATTCGAACGGATGAATTTTCTTTTTTTTTTTCTTCATTCGAATCGAATCGAGATTGGCTGGTTAATGGTGGTTGGATGTTTACGTTTTGTTGTTGTTGTTGGTTGATTATTTCATTTTTTTTCATTTCGTTTATCAAATCGGGTAGGTTCTTCTTTCTTTTTTGTCGTCGTTGTTGTTGTTGTTGGTTAGGTTGGTTGCCATTATTCCGGTTATTATCATTGAATTCAGCAGCAGGCCAACAAAATTAACAATGTGACCGATAGATAGAGAGAAAGCCAGCCAAAATACGGGACATGTTACGAAATAAAAAAAGAAGAAAACGGGATTTAATGATGTGCAGCCCAAACAGAAAAATAATAATTATTAATTAAATATATTCTTGTTCGATGGATTCATTTAACCATAAATGAAATGAATCATTATCATCATCATTGATATCATTAGTGACCAAAAAATAAAAAAAAATAAAAAAAATCGAACGGAACTCAGACAAGGCTATTTGAACACACACTGACAGAAGTTAAAATAGTTGACCGATACATTTGTTTATCGATAAATGGAGAGAGAGAGAGAGAAAGATTGGGAAATTCTTTTCAAAATGATGATCCCGGGACACACACACAAAAATTTGATCAATTAATTAGCTTTTTTTTCGAAGATGGGGAGGGAGAAGGAGGTTCGATGAATGTCAGTCTCGGGAAACTCGGGAAATTCATCATGATGATGATGATGATGGAAGGAAAGAAAATTGAGAAAATTGAAAAATAACGAAACAAAAATTCTTCTTCTTTTCAATGATATAAAAAAGTGTGTAAATATTTAATTTGTATCACCATTATCATTATCATCATCATCCCTTTTTTTTCGGATACATTTTCGATTGGTTTTTGACGTGTGTA